AAACAAGTTGAGAGAGTCAAGGGAAGGTCATCTGGCCACTGTGCAGGACATTCTGTGGGCCTGCGGGTGGGAGTCCAGGCGAGGGAAAGGGAGGGTGGGGAGGCAGGGAGCCAGATCACAGAGCCTTGAGTGCCACACCAGGGCACTCAAGCTTTGCACGCTGTGGAAAACGATTGGGAGGGCTTCAAATGGAGGAGTGAGATGATCAACTTGCACTTTGAAAAACAAAATGAAAAATGAATCAGGAAATGTTGAGGCTGGAGATTATGGGATCAGTTGGGAGAGTATCAGAGTCATCCCGATGAGTAGTAGTTAAAACCTCCACTCAGGCAGTGATGGGGAAAATGGAGATGTGGGTGCAGCTGTCTCAGGTGTCAGGGGTTTGACAGGGGTACGAGAGACTTGCTGAATGAGTCTCCTTGGTGGGCGAGGGGGAAGGAGGGGCCTGAAGTCACTTCTGGCTTTCTTGAGTGACTGGGTAGCTCAGGACGTTCCTGCTTAGGTGGAGAATTACAGGAGAAGGAAAAAACTTGGAAGAGGGATGGAGGGGTTGTTGAGAATGGCTTTGAGATGAACTAAGCTGGAGATGTACAGTGCCACGTTGAGTGCATGGTTGGAGATAGGGGTTTGGTCGTCATCAGCATATGGGAGATAACTGAAGCCATGGGAGTGAATTAAGTAACCAGAATGAGCATGTAGTGTAGGCAAATGGCTTTTGAAAAGATAAGAAGAGCAACCCTTAAGATGCATGCACAAGCAACATGGATGGACCTAGAGATGCTCATACTAAGTGAAGTAAGTCAGACAGAGAGAGACAAATATCATATGATATCGCTTATGTGTGGAATCTAAAATATGATGCAAATGAACTTATCGATGAAACAGAATCATGTACATAGAGAACAGACTGGTGGTTGCCAAGGGGAAGGGGGTTGGGGGAGGGATGGATTGGGAGTGTGGGATGAGCAGATGCAAATGATTATGTATGGGATGGATAAACAACAAGGTCCTACTGTAGAGCGCAGGGAACTCTATTCAATATCCTGTGATAAACCGTAATGGAAAAGAACATCAAAAAAAAGAATGTATATATATGTGTAACTGATTCACTTTGCTGTACAGCAGTAATTAACACAACATTGTAAATCAGCTTTACTTCAGTTTTTTAAAAATGCACGCATACAATAAGGAGCCAGCAAGGGAGACTGAGGCAGGGCAGTCAGAGAAGTTCAAGGAATCCAAAGGAGATTAGATGTCTCAGTCACAGAGGGAGAGGCGCATAGCCTCACTCTACTTTCACCCTTACAGAGATCCGGGGTTTATTCTCTGAAAAAACTGACCTAACAAGTTCTGGACCTAGGCACAAGAATGGGCTGAATGCAAGGGAGTGCCTAAACTGTGAGATTCTCCACTTCATCTCCCTGATCTGTTCCCGGAATGCAGGTAGCGTGCCTCAGGAAGGTTACTGGAGGATTTTTCTCTGTAGAAACTACTGGAAGATGCACTTCAGTAGGTAGATAGGTGATAGATAGATAGATAGATAGGCAGACAAACAGGTAAGCAAAAGAAGTAGGAGATAAGAAATCCAGGAAACAGAGGATTCAATGTAGGCAATAGGACCACAGCTCAGCAGCAGACGTAAAGGACAAGCGTTCCAGACTAAGTAGGGAAGCAGAGGGTTGAACTAGTAAGGCCTCCAGGGAAAAGTATGAAACTGATGTGCTTAAGTGTTTGCAAAAATTACTCATAGGTGTTTGGTAGATCTATTGGAGCATTTGGAAAACATACAGATAGATACATAGAAAAGCAAGCAGGCGAAAAATTAAAGCAATTATTCTTTTGAGGGGGGAGCATGGTAAGAGGAAGGAAACGTAATCATAGTACACTACTTGGCTCAGCAGGGAACAATATTTAAATTTACATTGTAAACATAGGAAACATGCTGGCTGCTGATTTATCAAAAAATGTGTGATGCGATCATATTGTGAGGATGGGGAAAAGGGAAGGGAGGAGACATGTAAGAGGACTAAATTCTCAAACAACAAAACAATAATGGGAAGAAAAAGATATCCAAAATTTATCTATTTAGAGTGAGAAATAATTTTCTCTAGGGAGTAGAGCTGAGTTTGGAAAGGGGTGTGAGGTGATGAACAGCTGTTTTCATGTCTTTTAGCACTGGCTTGTATTTTAACTGTATATGAGTTACTTTCACAAAAATCAAGAATAATTAAAGAATCAATGGGAACAGTGGAAGTGGAGGCAGAAAAGGCCGAGCGTTGTGTCAGTGGCTCCACCAGGCAGGCAGGGAAGGGGTCAGGGGCAGTAGCTCTAGAGGACTGCATGGCTGAAGGAAAACCTGTGCTGAAACGGAAGAGGCCAGAGCATACTTACATCCTGTGTGGAGGTAACAGGTGCAAAGGAGAAGCTGAAAGAGCCGAGGGTGAGGAGATAACCAAGGATGAGACTGGAGGAGGGAGTAGTGGGGAAACACTGACCATCGGCTGGGTTAGGGAGGTTTGGGAATAATGCATCCCTGTTTACAGGGAAGCCCTCTCTGTGCTCATCCTGTTACCTCTTCCTCTCTCTCTCTCTGCCCTCCTGCTGCCCACATAAACGTGCCCTTCTCATCCAATATCCCTGGAGTTTTCCCAATCAGGAAAGTTTTGCTCTCTCCCCAGTATTCCAAATCTATGAAAGGGATGAGAAATTCAAATCTTTGTTCATCTCCCATTCTCGGACAGGTTTTTGTTTCCCTGAAATTATACTCTTCCCACACTGCACATCAAAGCTATGTCTTCGCTTCTTTCTTAAAGACATTCAACTAAGAGATCTGGTAACACCCTACCCTTAACGAGTACACTAAAATCTCCAGACAGCCCAACTGTTCCCCGTTAACCTGTCCTCAATGAAAATATAATAAAGATGGTAGTAGAAACTGAATGACTCTGTTTAAGCAGGTGACCTAGACAGGAAAGTCATTTTCAAGAAATGATAAATACCTTTTGGGCCGTGTCCCATCTTGGAATGTTTCTGGTACCATGCATGCTACATGGCCACCATCGTAGAATGTGGAAACAGCCAACACACAAAAATTATTCTCAGGAGAGTAAGACCAGGGCTGCCTCTGTAGCTGTGTGGATGGGGCCCTGTCTGTCCCCAGACGGAGCCGTCACACTGAAATCTGTGGAAATGGCACCCCTCCCTCCCCAGGACGGGACCTGACAGCAGCTGTTCATAGCTGCCCTAGTGAGACCCCTGCTATTTCACTACACAGTACTGTTTCAGGATAGGGAAAAGACTCTAACTTTTTCATCCCATTCACTCTTATAAAAGCACATGAAACTGCATCTTAAAAACATGATATACTCACACATAGAAGCCGGAGTTGGAGTGCATTGAATCCTCCACCTCCAGTCCTCGGTGGCTTTCATTTCTAATATGTAGTTTAAAACCAAGCTAGCCAATAAATGTGGAGTTGGTTCTAAAATTACAAAGGAAAACTGCCACGGCAGTCGCAACTTTATCATTTCTGAAAAGCGAATATGTGTCGTGCCGTCAAGTTTTCTTAGCAGTTGTCCTTTGCAGGTGGCTGTATTCCAAGATCCAGATGTATAAGCATCCTGTCCACTCACGGTTAAGCTCTTACAGCCTCTCCCTGCAGAAGGAATGAGCTTCCGGGCAGAACCGACATAAGCATGGTGTGAGCAGGTAAAAAAGCAAAACAGCAGCAGTGACACTCGATTAGGAAAAGGGTCACTGAAGAATGGCAGGTAGTATAAAACAGAGCACAGTGTTTCGTTCTCCTGACACCTTCGTTTGCTGAAATACAGCATGACAGTAACACTAAATAGGCTAAATGCCAGGGAGGCATTTGAAAAACAGTGGAGCGTCCTTGTTTCTGAAAGGGATAATGTCCACTTTACAAAAGGGGGGAAATTCCCTTTCAAAAAGACACGAGTCAGTATTCGAAATGGCAAGATCTGTTGTTTAAGCTTGTTGAAAATCGTATTTCATAAAGTCTTTTTTTCTCAGTCTCCCTCTCCTTCCGCCTTGAAATTCCATTATTAGGGCATGTCTCCCGTAGTTGCTCAATATTTTAAAATACATTTGCTGAGAACTGAGCTGCAGGCAACAGTGATCTGATTAAGTAAATGTGAATATTGTGAGGGGTCTGTCTCCTTCATCCACAATTTGAGCCCAAGTTCTACAAGGGACAGGAAGGACAGTGTGGAAAGAACTCAGAGGACAGCCTCTATACCATGAAGCACGGTGACTCCTGGGCTAAAAACCAATCATGTATCTTTAAAAAAAAACCCTACCTTTTACCAAATATCAGGACTATTCGATGATTCTGGAACCTTCACAATTTAGAAGTAGAAAATAGCAACCTGTAACTTAATACTCATTGTGTTATTGTGAAGTTCACCCAATTGCCTCAAAGATTTCAACAAAGGTGCTGCCTACCTGAGACCTCAGATGCTAAGCTGGGGTTATCAGCCTTGAGCTCATTTGTGGTTATTTGACTACCAAGCACCATGTCCACGTCAACATGGTTAAATCTTCTCACAGACACTGGCATTCTGCATTCACACACTCTTCATGCTTATAAAAACATGCTTAAAATTAACAATGATACAAACACAGGTAATAATAATACACTTCACCACACCACACCACACACACACACACACACACACAATCATGAACTGGTTCTATACTTGCAAAGTCAAGTCGACACTTGACTGTGAAAATGTTTCAATTCAATTAAGCTATGCATGATGTCATTTTATTTCTTGGCAACAATGTATCAAAATTTACTGTCGCTATTTTCCATCCATTACAACCTCTCTTGAGCTATAAAGGGCCATTGGGCAGCTCTATTCAAACTGCTCTACAATTTAAATCAGCTGCACACTTGAATAGAGCATGAGTCTGACATTAACGGTTCTAAAATTCCAAAATCTTTACAAATACACACACACAAGTAAAACTCTGTTTTTAGTATTCCATATTTCATTTCCGTTTTATTTCACATTCGAATTGTTTCCTGAAATCGGTTCAGAGGCTTTTGTTTTTGCAAAACCTTAGAGGTCCAGGTCCTGTGATAACTAGGAGATGGGTTTTGTTTGGGGGGTTTTGTTTGTTTGTTTGTTTCCAGCACATGAAGCAAATTTGGAATCTGAAAAAGGCAAATGACAATTGTTAACCTATTTCCTGTTTCATAAAAGAGGTTTTGAAAAATCAATTATGGTGGAACAAAGCCTATTATATTTGACTTACAATTAGGAGCCGGCTTTGGCGAGGCTGTGATCCAGCCCCCATATCTTACTGATTTAACTAATGGGTCCACTTTCTAGAAGCAAAACTGGGTCTAGAAGTCAGGCCCTGCCTCGGGCCCAGCACCCTCCGCAAAGCACACAGCACACGGTAGTTTTGCTGGTTAGTTCTGTTCCCCAGCATCAAAACAAATCCACAAAATAGGAAAGACACATGGCTATTAGTTGATTATTTTATGAACAAGATATTGAAAACTTAAATTAGTACATGTAGAGAGTTGGCACGAACAGAGGGCAGCAGTAGCATCTGCACGACATACCCCCTCCGCCACTGCCCTCAGCCCTTCCCCCCTCCAGGAGAGGTAGCGCTGCCGGCTGCAGATTTCTTCAGCTCTATTTTCATAGACTGAGTCTCAGCTCGAGGCTCGAATTTGGTCAGATTTCCTGCTCCTGGGGCTGCCACTACTGCCTTTCCTGCTTTCATACCTTTTGACATAGGAATGCGGGTGGGTGTAGGCCGCTGGGATGACCCGTCTTGTCCCGACTGTAAGAGAGAAAATACAGAAACGCAAGGGCAATGCTGGTGAGTTTCCCCCGGAAATGCCATCAGTCTGCACATAAGCAGGGCTCTTGCCACAGAACTACCCACAGACGACCCCTCTCCAGATCAGATTATCGTTAGCAAGTTGGAGTTGGTGTCTAGTCCACTTCAGTCGCCCCGCCCCGCTTCCCCTCTCCCGGAACATCTGTGCACCCTTCGTTCTCTTCTCAAGCCCCTGACCTACCTCCTCTACCCTTACTGAAGACAGCCTTCACTCCTACTTCACAGAGAAGCTGCAGGACACCCTGCGTATACTCAGGCATCTTTACTCCTACTGTCCCCCAACTCACCTCACTTGCTTTACATAAAGCAGCTCTCCTTTCCCCTCCTAAGGAGGCCAGATCTTCTCTTTTTTGTATTGTCACTGCTGACCACACCCTATTTTTTCTTTCTTTTTTTTTTTTTTTTTTTTTCCCCCCCCTTTTTTTTTTTTTTTTTTTTTTTGGAAAAAAAATTTTTTGGGGACCCCCCCTTTTTTTTTTTTTTTTTTTTTTTTTTTTTTTTTTGCCATGCCGCATGGCATGCAGGATCTTAGTTCCTCGGCCAGGGATGAACCCGTGGCCCCTGCAGTGAAAGCTCGGAGTCCTAACCACTGGACTGCCACAGAATTCCCCCACAGCGCCCTTCTTGAAGTGCTCCTAAAACTCTCCTGCTGTGATTTCTTACTTGGGTCTCACCCATCCCCCTCCTGTCTCTGACGACTCCTTTTCACTCTGGCGCTGGCTCCCGGTTCCAGCTTGCCTGCCTTATAAATGTGGGTGTCACCATGCTCCATCCTTGGCCCTCTTTTCATTTTTCACATTCACCCTGAGAATCGCCTCAGTTGTCACCCACATGTTGCTGAGTCCCAGGACCTCGAGTCTTCAGTGCTCTCCTTAAATGTAGATCCAGATTTCCAACCGCGTGCTAGACATTTTCAGTGTCCCTCAGGCATCTCAATTGTAACAGGCCCCAAACATTACTTAACTTCTCCCCCAAACAGTAGTCCCCCTGGGTTTCTCGTTTTATCCACCTCTACAGCCAAGCCAGAAACCTCAGAGCTGCCCTCTGTACTCAGTTTGTCATGAAATCTTCAATTCCGTCTTCAATATATTTCTGTCCTCATTTTCACTACCACAGTTCAAGCATACGCCACCTCCAGCCTACAGAATTGCAACAGTATCCCCGTCCTCGGCCTCTATTTCCTCCAATTTATCCTTTAAATGGTTTTACAGACATACCTAACACATAAATAATGTAGTTTTAAAAATCATTACCTTGTTTCTGGGTCCCTTTGTCTCCTCTCTGAGATTAAATGTCAGTTTCATAAAAAGACCCACACATCTTCAGTATCTGACCCCAGTGTGCCTCTCCTTTTCTGCTCCCGCATTTTGTCTCCAGCCCCAGCCGCTGCAGCGCAAAGGGACTGCTCACCTTCCCCAACAAGCCAGTTCCTCACATTGCCATCGCCGCGCCTGTGCACACGCTGCCCTCTCTCTGCATCTGTGAAGACCTCTTCCCCCGATGAAGCCTTCTCTGCTTGTTCCTTTGTACATACCCGTCTCACAGACTGAAACCAGGAGGTTTCAATCCTGCCTCTCCCACTCAGCCAAGAACTTCGACAGGTCCTCTTTACAGTCGGCACCTAACCCCATGCCTAAAGTGCTGCTAATGGTCAATAAATGTTGAATAAATGCACAAATGAACTAGCCACACTATTCGATTTCTAAGAGGGGTATTCCCAAACTTTTTGTTGCCCTTGATCTTATGGGATCTGATATACCTGAAGTATGTGAATCATCATTTAGGCCTTAGAAATCTTAGACAGTTGTTTTGAAATCCTATTTGTGTAGGGGCTTTAGTCAGTAATCCAAAATGTTGCTACAGAAGGGAAGCCTAGCTTGACCTGACCCTTAAGATGGGAGTAGGATGTTCCAGCAGAAGATCTGCTTTAAATTACAACAATTACACCTCCACTAGCTTTTATAAAAATCCAAGCTACACTGTGTTGCTTAAATAAAAGCAGCATTGAACCATTTGAGAAGGGTGAGCAGTGCTGAATGCTATTCAGCTCCCATGGAGCCAATAACAAAAAGCTTTACTGGCAAAGCAGTTAGTAAGTAATTCACACTGTGGAGCCTGTCTTGGGTCCATGCTTGTGCACAGAGAATTAAAGTAAATTATAGTGAAGATATGGGAAAATGAGCCACAGTTTCTATACTTAAATAATAAGCTTCCTCTCCTTCTTAAGAGTTTCTAATATATGCTGCAGAATTTATTCAGAGATTGGGAATCATAATTTCTAGCCTATTAGTTTAAACTAATATCTAAGTAGTGCATGCTCTTCTATAATTTCATCTACCAGTTGTCTTCAATAAATGAAGAAAATCATTGGATGTATTTTGAAAAATAGAATTTATTTTTAAGTTCTGGCTTTTATACTTTGGACATGCTTTTTTATAACCCTTCATTTAGCCTCCCAGCTGGTATTAACTAAATATTTATCGAGCACCTGCTCTCTGCACGATACTATTAATACAATGTAGTGTTTAGACATATAAACTCACTTCTTTTTTACTTTAAAAAAAGTTCTGGATATAATAATCTTTTAATCTTACTTTTCGAATAAAGTATGACTATGACCATATGTAAATGTATTTTAAATATTTTAGGTTCTAGAAATATAACCCAGGAATAGGTTATTTATTTATTTATTTTTATTTTTTGGCTGCATTGGGTCTTAGCTGCTGCAGGCGGGCTTTCTCTAGTTGCGGCGAGTGGGGGCTACTCTTCCTTGCAGTGCGAGGGCTTCTCACTGCGGTGGCTTCTGTGGTTGCGAAGCACGGGCTCTAGGCACGCGGGCTTCAGTAGTTGTGGTGCTCAGGGCTCAGTAGTTGTGGCTCACGGGCTCTAGAGCACAGGCTCAGTAGCTGTGGCGCACGGGCTTCGTTGCTCCGCGGCATAAGGGATCTTCCCGGACCAGGGCTCGAACCCGTGTCCCCTGCATTGGCAGGCGGATTCTTAACCACTGCACCACCAGGGAAGCCCAACCCAGTAACGGTTTTAATTATTTTCTGCATATTGACCATTTCTCCCCAGTCTCCATTTTTCAAAATACTGTAAACATAAAAACCAAATTTTAAACCTCATTATTCCCATATGCTGACACTGCAAGAGGCCATCTTTGCAAGGATTTTTGGAGTCTCCATAATTGTTGTGAAAGAAAAATTATCCCTCATAATTGGCTCAAATTCATAAAGTACTAGGCCACTTTTTACTCCTATTTCTTGATGTAGACAGTCCCCTAAGAAACAGCTCGTAGTGGGTTCGGGTGGAGCCGAGGCACGTGCTTTTGCTGTATCTTGGGCACTGCGCTGTTCTCACTCCCCCCGCGCCCCCCGCCTTGGCGTGAACTTTGGAGCCCCCTCTACTCACCACTGACTGGGTTCCTCTGGCCGATGAGGTCGTGACCGGTGTAATGGTGATGGTGCTGGTCACTTTGCTTGCGCCAGGGCGAGGCGAGACGTGGCTCCTGGGCGAGCGAAGGACTGTGCCGGTGGACACCTCCTTCTCCGCGGCCACGCTGACAGGTCGGACAGTAATCACCGGGCTTGCTCCCTCAGCCGCAGTCCCAGGGGCGCGCTTAAACTGAGAACCTAAGTGAATGTGAATTTTATTGTCTTCCGTGGTTATGATATTGGCATTGGAGTTGTACTTCCGGACTGGGGCTGGCACAGTCTGCTTCTCCGGGTTGACCTTGAGGACAGTCCTTCCCACGGGCATTTCCTGGGATTCGGGAGGGACGGCGATGTCCGCCGGGGCCGCTGATGTGGACACGGTCATGATCTGTATGGGGGACGTGGGCCTATCCGCAAACGGCCCTCTTCCGCTTTCTGGTGTCTTCTCTCTGGAGAAGGTAGTAATTGTGACTGGGGACATGGCTCGCTCCGCGCTGAGAGTAGCATCTCCGCTTTTCTGTTTCTGAGACATGACATTTGGTGACGGGATAATGGTTATCCTCGGTTTCTGATTCCCTAGGGTGGGAATGACGGTGGTACTGGAAAAAAATTCTTCCGCCGTGGGGCTTGTAATCTCCAAAGTGGCAGTGCTGTTCTCATGGTCCGGCGTCACTCGAATGTGCAGGGGCTGGCCCTGCTTGGGCGAAAGAACCAGCTCTCCTGGGTGCCCCGGGCTGGAACCGGCTCGAGGCCCCTTCTCCTGAGTCACCGGGGGCCCATTCTCCCTTTTCCTCATCCATGGAATCCAAGACTTCCTCATGGTGAGCTCGTTGGCCGCGGGCGGATACCTGTCTAGGACAGAGGAACGTTCCACAGGTTTCTTCAGCCCCACCTGTCGAAGGTTACTCATGATATGGTTTTCTTCTTGAAAGGATTTGCGTATAAACACTGCTGGCGTGTCCTCCTCCGCCGCTTCGCTGCCGACCGCATCCGTCTGAACGCCGGTGGACGTCACGGGGACATCCACCATCCTCCTCCCGTTCACGCTGGGTCGGAGAGCGCGGCTGTACCGCTTGGACAGCTCCAGCTCTTTGGTCAGATTGAGGACCTCCTGCCCCATGTTCTTGTTCTTGTTTTCTTCTTCCATAAATCTTTGCTGAAGCACAGAATAATCCACTTGGAGCTGAGAAAGCTGATCTTCTTTGTTCATCAATTCATGAATCTTCTCTTTAAGGGCTTGGACTTCTGCTTTTAAGTCTCGACTTTTAGCTTCTTCCAGCCGAAACCTGTGTCTCAGCTCGGCTTCCTGGCTCACCGCCTCACCTTTCTCTATTGCTTTATTCTTGGCGATTTGGTGTTTTATCTCCTCCAGCTGCTGAGAGAGGAAGTTGGCCTTATCCTGCTCGCTTCTAAACTTCTGCTCCAGCTGGCCGTACTCATCTTCCGTCTTCATCAGATCCCCTTCCACCACCTCCAGTTGCTGGAGACGTTTCTTCAGTCTCTCGATTTCCAGTGTTAGCTCCTTAATTTTGTTACCTTCTGGGCAGGTGAGCTCAGGTCCTTTTCGAGACCTTCCTCTTGTTATTTCTCTCTCCACCTCCTCTATCCCATCGAGTCTCTTCTTTAATAAGTCAACACTGCAGCTTAATTCAGAGGATTTTTCTTCTTCGCTTTTCAGTTTGCCTATTAACTCATCTCTCTCTTTTGTCAAATTGTACACCTTTTCCTCCATTTCGGATTTCAGTTTTAAAAGCTTTTTACTTTCTTCAATGAGCTTTTCCGTCACATCCATAACCTTGCCTTGTTCCACCTTAAAATTTTTATTGAGTCCATCCACTTTTCTCTCTTCTTGCTTTATTTTCTCCATCATGTTTTTCCTTTCATCAACCAGCATCACGGTAAAGGACTTCAACTTTGTCAGATCGTCTTTCAGGCTTAATTCAGCCTTTTCCAATCGACTTTCAGAACATTCCAGCTCTTTAACCCGACTCTTGACTACCTCCAACTCATTGAGCAGGTCCTTGGTTAAGTTCTTTTCTTTCTCCAGATTTAAATGCAGCTGGGTGCACTCCGATTTACTCTTGCTGAATGCTTCTTCCAACTTCTCCAGTTCCGACATTCTCACCTGTAACTTCTCGACTTCAAGTCTGAGCTCTCGGCTATGGTGCTCTTCCTCCTGCAGCTTCTTCCTCAGCCCCCTGCACTGGGATTCGGTTTTCGTGATCTCCTCGTCTTTACCCTCCATCTCAAGTACGCGCTTCCGAAGCTTTTCCACTTCTGCCATGAGACTGGAGTTGCCACATTCCCCTTTGGCAATTTTATCTCTTAGCTCCTGAAGTTCTACTTCTGCCTTTTGAAGATTTTTGTTGGTCTCTTCCAGCTCCTCGATTCGTTGAGTCAAGCCAACCAGCCTGAGTCTGAGCTGCCTGTTGTGAGACTCCTGATTGGCCAACTTAGCGCTCATCTCTTCATGCTCCTGGGAAAACCTCGAAGCCTTGTGTTCAAAATCCACTTCCAACTTGAGCAATTTCTGCCTGTCTTCTTTGGATTTAGAAGTGATGGCTTTGAGCTTTTCTTCCTCTTCCCTCAGTTTCTGAGTCAGGTCCTGTACTTTCTGGCTTTGCAGGCCAAGTTGCTCAATATGCATCTGCCTTTCATCCACCAGCATGAGTGCGAAGGACTTGAGTTTCACAAGCTCATCTCTCAGTTTGTTGAGCCGCTTAGCATTTTCCTTTTCTTTGCGGGCTTGGTAAGCCTTTTCTTGTTCAAGGAGTTTTTTCAACCTAGAAAACAAAATATATTAAAACATTCTATTTTATTACATTAAACTTTATATGTTATACATAAATATTTCATATACATATTAAAAGATTAGTCTGCAAATAAGTTTCTCTTAGGAATTACATAAAAACAAAATAAAATGCTGTTACAATAAATCCCTTATCAATTACTGCAGTATGAAGGTTTAACAAATAGCCATTAATGAAGCCAATCAGAAGGCAGGATGCTGGCTACCGGTACTGAAGGGTAGCGACTAGAAGGGGGCATGAAGAGGGCTTTTCCGGTACCAGTTTATGTTTCATAATTTGTGTGCGCAGGGCGTTAGCGATGGGAAGAATAGGATGAATTGTGACAACTTTGCAAAAGATAACATGGACTTTGTGACTGCTTACTAACTGGTACGAAGGGAGAGAGAGAGAGAAAAAAATGACTTCAATGCTTTAGGTCTGAATAGTTGCAAACAGTAATATTTTTAACAGAAACAGGAAAAACAGGTGAGAAAGGGTATGGGCAGAAATTGAGAACTGAAGCAACAGCAAGTTGAAAAGTATACCAGACAACAGTTAACAATACTGTACTCTATACTTAAAATTTTTTAAAGAGGGTAGAACTCATGTTAAGTGTTCTTACCATGATTGAGACAGACAAACAAATAAATAAACGTGCCAACAATTAGAAATGTAGTGCTTTGAAAATAAGTCCTATAAATTTTACAACTCATATACACCTTAACCCATAGCCTTAATGCCTCCCCACTGTCTCTACTCCAGTCCAAGTACTCAGCATCTGCTGATAATTCTGCAACAGCCTCCAAACTGGTCCCTTCACAACCTCAGCTGTGCCACTTCCTAGCTGTATGATCTTGGAGAAGTTATATAACCTCTGTGTATCTCACTTTTCTCACTTATAAATTGAGCATCAAAATAGTAGCTAATTCATAAGGTTTGTCTGAGGTGCATATCAGTTAATATACGGAAAGCACGTATAACAGTGCCTGGCCCATAGTGAGTGTAGCTAAAACTACACTTTATATTATAAATTTATAATTATATTATTATTATAATTATGTTTATGTTATCATTATTATTATTACTACTTACTCTCACCCAAATTCTAATATAATCATGTCACTCCTGGTAAATGGAATATTTATAAATGGCATATTTCCTGCCACGTCAATAAACAAAGTGTGTCACAGTCATCAACAACTGCAGCCCTCCAACGTGAGCCAGTGAGCCCTGAGGAAACTCAGGGCTGAAAAGAATACTTGCCATCTAGCAGCCATCAGACTGCAGCCACTCCCTGAAGTGAGCCCTGAGGAAACTCAGGATGTACAAATACATGACACTGGCCCTAGGTAGCTGAGGTGCCTATCAAAGGAATGATTTCAGGGAGCCCAGACTCTTGCATCTTCCCATACACAGAAAAGCGCTACATTCCTTAGCTTGAGATACCTTGTTTTCTTTAATTAACAATAATCTTTTGACGTTCCGACTACCTGCCCTTTTGTTGCAAAACTCCTATATGTCCTGGCTCACCCCTCGCCTCCTTGGAGCAGTTTCTCAGTTATCTGCAACGCTGTCTCGGGGCTGTAGTCCTCATTTTGCCCCCAGTAAAGCTTAATTTGCAACTCTCACGCTGTGCATTTTTTTTTAAGTCAACACTCCCATGGCTTCCTATTGCTTTAAGAATAGAGGCATGAAATCCATAACAAGGCCCAGACTGATGTGATTCCTGACCACCTGGGCAGGTTGATCTCAAGCTGATCTCTCACCTGTTATCTAAGCTCCACACATTGCTCAAATATGCTGGACCCTCTGCTTAGAAGTACCTCCCTGCTCTTCCTTTCTCCCTGACACATACACACACACACACATGAACATATCTGGTTGACTTTTTATCCTTTGAGTCTCACTCAAATGTCACTCCCTTCAGGAAGCCTTCCCTGACCAAACTGACTAAGTCAGAGCCTCTTAGAAACTCTCATAATACCCTGCAGTCTTCTTTTATAACACTTATCAACTTACAAGTTTTTAATGTCTGCCTACCTCTGTTCATGAAAGTTCTGTGAGAGTGGGTGCCAGGTCCTTGTTCACCCCCTAGCACAATGCCTGACACATAGGAGGTGCTCAAGAAATATTGACTGAATGGATAAATGGAAGAAAGAACAAATAAATAAGCTTGAGCTAGAAATAAAGCTCAAGCCACCTACATAGGGCTGTGTGAACTAAAGTCCTTACAATGCTGAGCTGAGGATAAATTTTTGTCGAATGTATGTTATGGTTGTTACTAGGCCAGTAATTGGATACTACTAGTGGCTATTAGACAATGAGTGTCTCTGATCTCATTAGCAATGCCCTCTCTTAAAGAATATGGTCATCCTAGCCATCATCTCTGGGAGAAGAGGAGTTTCTCTTAAGTGGGAAACCTCACGTGAGAGAGGGAGCCTTCTCTGTGTGGACTGGAAAGATATCCCTAATGGTCTGTCTATCCTTAGTCCTGGTGGATGAACAACCTTTTTATCTACCTTTCCAGTCAATTTGGCATTCTACTTTCAGTTGTTTTTTTCCTTCTTCCCCCATATCTAGAAATCCTCTTTTTTTTTTTTACATTAAACAAGCATTCAGAAGCATTATCACATCATTGTGCAACCATTCACAAAGCATAATGACTATCGCACAAACAATTTTCTAATAGTTACAATTTCACTTTGTGCTTTAAACAATTTACTGTACATTATGGGGCATTTCCATGTAATTATGCTATTGAAGGAGCAAAATAAGAGGATTTCAGTGTTCTGACTGTTATGGTGTACACATTCATCAAAATTCATCAAAATGTATAATTAAAATTGGTGAATTTTGTAATACATAAATTATATCTCAATTTTCAAATAGATTAAGAAAAATAATATTAAAAGCCCTGCAAAGTGCTCTAAGATGTCAGATAAAGGGAGAAAAGTTGTAAACAAATCTAAAAGAGTGACTTAAAATATGATTGAAAACATAAAACAGGTTATTAATCTTAAGGCAGAAAGAGGTGAAAGCAGAAGTTGTAAAAATAAAGAGAAGACAGCTCACATTTTCAGGTGGAATTCCAGCTGACAAGAAAACTTGTTCCAGGAAAATGATGTTTCAGGTATGAGAAAACCTTGAGTCCTAATATTATTTCAAGAGGCTCGTAAAAGCCCACTCCAAACTCAAGTATTTACTAATACTTAATTTTTAAAAAAATAAAGGATAGGAAGAAAGGTCTTTTGATAATAAAACATTTTATTTACCAACTATCTGTTACGTCCTAGGCTGTGTGTTTTATTATTTCATTTCATTTTCATAACAACACTTGAGCAAGGCATTACTATGCCATTTTATAAATAAGGAAATCGTTTGCCCTAATCATGGGAACAGGACTAGGAAGGGGCAGGTTGGGATTTTGGACCAGATCTGTTTGACCACAGTGTGCTTTTAACAATGCTATTCCTCAAACAGGTATTGCTGGAACAGCTGAAATTCACAAGACTTTGTGTTTGTTTAGGTTAACTTCATCTTACTTGATTCATCTATCTTTCTGGAATTGTCAAGTTCCTCCTTGGACTGTTCTGTCACCCAATATATCAGTTTATATCTAGCATTGTGTCAATGGCAACACAACCCCAGTGATTAATAGAAAGACAGGTCAATGTACAGAGCCCTTCAAATAGAGTCAAGTTCTCCCTGCTGCTGACTTCAACCCATTCAGCAGCAGGGACGTTGTCATCAGTCACCCATGCGCCCACGGGGCTGTTAGTCATTATCTCTCTGAGCTCCCAGCCCTCCCTTGCACCTGTTCCAACCACATCCTCCTCACGCCAGTCAACTACAACCAAATGCTTCCAGATGCTTGGGCCCCAGATCGAGAGTCATCCTTGAGTTCTGTCCTTCTCTCACAAGCCCACATTCAGTTCTTCAATAAATCTTGTCAACTCTACCTTCAAAATACATCTCGAATCCAATTACTTCTCATCCCGCTATTGGTCTTACCCTGGCCCACGCCACCGTCATCCCTTATCTGTATTATTGCAAGAGCGACCTAACCTGACTCTCAACTTCCACTTTTGCTCACCCTCATCTGTCCTCTGCCCAGGAGCCAGCATGATTTAAAAAGGGTGAATCAGCTCGGTGCTTTGTGACCGCCTGGAGGGGTGGGATAGGGAGGGTGGGAGGGAGGGAGACGCAAGAGGGAAGAGATATGGGAACATATGTATATGTATAACTGATTCACTTTGTTATAGAGCAGAAACTAACACACCACTGTAAAGCAATTATACTCCATTAAAGATGTAAAAAAATAAAAAATAAATAAAAAGGGTGAATCAGATCCTGTCATTCCTCAGCTCCAAGCCCAAATCATCACAATGGCCTAAAAGGCCCCACGTCATCACTCTTTTCCTCCTACTTCTGTGACTTCATGTCTTAAAACTCTTTCTCTTATCCTTGAGATATTCTACTAGATCACTCCTTCATTTCCTTCAAGTCTTTGTACAATTATCCCCTCTCAGGGAGGCCTGCTTTGCCAACCTTATTTGTCTTGTGCATTTCATGGTAGAACTTCCTATTTTCTTCTTCTGCTGTCTTTTTCTCCAGAGCACTTATTACCATCTAATACGCTATACATTTTACTTATTCTTTTTTTTTTAATTGACTGTCATTCTTCTCTAAACTGTAAACACCTTGAAAGGAGGGTTTTTGTGTATTTTATTCACTGCTGCAGCCCCAGCACCTAGAATGTGGCCAATGGTGAGCTCTTTCCACGTTTGTTGAAGACGATCGCAAAAGGCCTTCTCAAAAGTCTTGCTGAAATTCGAATGTGCTCGGCCAAATCCTTAACTTCTTTGTGCCTCTGTTGTGAAGACTAAAGCAAACGGCCTCTGTAAAGTGCTTAGACAGTGGCCAGCCCACAGAATGTTCTCAGTAAATGCCACCCGCCAGTGTTGCTGGTCACACCTCTTCTTGTTTACTCATTT